ACATTCTTAGACTTGCTGTTGTCAAAGGTAATGGAGGTTTCTAACTGTCTCTGAAGCAACGCTAAAAGTTTAGTGCTCATAGACTTTTGGTTTTAAAAATCTCTCCTGCTTGAAGTTACAGGGTTTGTGAGCTTAAGTTCTAATGATGTGACAAAGAGTATTTGTCAGCCATGTAGCTGTTAATTGAAACAACTATAAACTTCTCAGAGGAAACTGATCCTCATGATAAAGAGATGAGGAAAACAAAGCTGTGTTTTGTATAGATCATTTGCATTTGTCCCACAGTGGTAAATGAGTCAAGCACTGTACAGACACATCAAAATACATCTGGAACAATCAGCTAGTCAAGCCAGGCTTAGTAGGTCTGGGTCAGTATGAACCATGACATACCTGGTCTGGGCAACACGGTGCTGAACCCATGCAGTGAGACTGAAGCCCAAAGTCTCACCGCGGGCTAGTGCTGTGAGTTCAGACCCTGCTTGCCCTCCCCCAAATGAAGCCTCTCTTATACTGGGAAGGCACCTTTATCAGGAAGGTGGTTTTCCCAGGGTGAAACTCATCACTTGCAGTTCAGGTGTGCTGACCCCTGTGATTTCCACAGATGCAAAGCTAATGAATATAGCTGTAATCTGTTAATAGGTGACTCATTTCAGACCATGGCAATAGCATTTTATTTGTAATGTGAAATACTAGGGCAAGGAAAAGCATATGTCACAGACTTGGGAGAGAGGAAGAAGGTAGCAGAAAGAGGAATATAACCATGATTAAAGGCATATCAGAATTCCTTAAAAGTCATACTCAGAAAGTGCAAATAAGTGTGCAAAAGCATAGGAAGTTCCTTGTGACAGACAAACCTGAAAGCATACTGAAAACATAATAGCTGCCTGTTGCCTGTTTGCCAGTCAGACAGACCTTCTCCCTCTCTGCTCTCTTCCTCCTCCAGCCCCAGTACACAAAATCGCTGAAATGTATACACGTTTTCCAAGAGTATGTGTTAAAACACTATTACTTCAACCAGATGGAGGCTCAGAACAGCTTAAAGCAACAAACCTGCTAAGGTTTGATTTCTATAAAAATCAAAGGTACTAAGACAAATGAAGTGTCAATAGCATTGATTTTTGGACAATTTTCTAAGGACAGGCACGATGCATTAATATCTAAGAATCTGGAAATGTTGTGAAAGACAGCAGTAAGCAATATTGGAGAATATTTAATTTTGTAAAGGGCATTCCACATGGATCCATGTAAAAATGATCAGCTAGCAAAGTAAGCCAGAGCATTTAGAGAAAGAAATATCAAATAAAAAAGGTAAGAAATATGCCTTTTTTATGAATTAAAGTATATTCCTATATCTTTCAACTTCTTTCTGAAACCATTGAAATGGACATTTAAGTAGACAAGAAATAAAAGCAGTGAATATGTTTATAAATAATGTCATGCGATAGTCTCGAAAGTTACCTATCTAAATAGTGAGTGGATTCTAAGTAGCCTTAGAAATGTTAAATTTGCTGTTCTTAGGTGGAAAGAGAAGAAGAGAATAACATGAGTATTAATAGCAGCACTCTTTGATTTTATTTATAGCTCATTTGGAAGCTTTTATTAGTTTTTAATGAATAACTCGTGGCAAAGTTGCACCAGAGAAAGGTAAGTTAGGTAATCAGTTAAGAAAGAATGAACATGTGGGTATGTCCTCCTTTGAATATGTATTGTTGCAGCTTTTTTGTTGGTTTCTGTGGCAAATTGTATGCCCGTATACGTGAAGAAATGCCATAACTTTGGGCATCATAACAAAGGAAAGACGTTGATGTCCAGTGCTTTCATCTTTTAAAGTATATTCAGTGTAATAGCCACTCTTGATGTATTTAGTTCATAAGAACAAAAACACTGATTTAATAGAAGTATCATATGAGTGAATACAATGAAATAACAGCATACTGAAATCACTCCATGCTATTTGAGCTGCAGTGGCAAGAAACTGAATCTTACAGTGTGAGCACCTCGGGAGGCAGTTTTCCTTTACTTTAAAGAAAAGGTGTGTGGAAAGTGAACTCCTGTGATTTCCACATCTGCAGCTATTTCATAAGTAAATGGTCACAGGTAGCATAGAAGGAGATTATGCTGTAAATAATCAAGCCAGAATGTTCTTATAGAAGAGCTGCTTAAATAAAGTCACTATGTTTTTGTATATAAACTTTACCTAATATCAAAGTGGACATGGGTATACTCAATTTAGGATAATTTTCGTTCTCCAAGTGGGGCACCCCAGCTGAAGCTCAGATTTGACACTCATCAGAAATAACAGAACATTAAATGTATTATGCATAGTACTGTTTTTTCGTGGTATCTGTGGAGACTAGCAAGCTGCATTCTTTGTCTTGCAAGTTTTACAGTATAAATTAATATATGTTTTTTACTCTTATTATGAATTACCAAAAAATAATCTCTGAACCCCAGGCTTCCTATGTTTATTTAATTACCAAAAATGCAATTCTTGCAGAAACAATTGAAGAACGAGTAATCACTTATATAGAGAGAAAAACAGATCTGGATCTCTAGTTGATTTTAAAAATAAAAATCCTTTCTGCCTCCTTACACAAGAAAAGAAGAAGGAAAAGAGGGAACAAAAAATGAACAAACAATCTACTATTCTGGCACAAATGCTCAGTGAGGCTCCTCCCAATGGACATAACTACGATAGTGAGGAGTGGGTAGCACGCAGGTCAGTCATCAGTGACAGATATCAAGGTGACTAAGCTGAGGGAGACTGTTCACTGAATGACTGGAGCTTAAATCGCCAGCCATGATGGACTGTGAAATAGATCTGTTTGCTCTTAATCAGTATTTAATTTCCAGTGTTGCTCTTTAACTTTCTGTATTATTGCTTGATAATACCAAGAAAAATATATTCTATTTTAACACAAAGGGAATCTAGTAAAGTGGGCCATCGTCCTCATGGCAGAAAGGGGACTGATAGCATATGAGCAAAAAAAATGGCATTCCAGTTTTTGCGAGCTGGTTGCTGATAGCAACTTGATGAAAAATGAATCTAGCTTACTTTTATAATGAGATCAGAATGATTAAGCCAGCATGGTGGGCCCAGTGTGCAACTCCTGCTGCTTTCAAAGTCTGCGTTTTTGTGTTGTGCTGTCTGCTGTCTGGATCTTCAGTTGAGGTGAGCTGAGTGGCAGCACGGCTGGTGAACGGCATTACTCTTCCAGGCAGCTTCCCATCAGAGAAGGGAAAAGGGAATGTGGCGCAGGGAGTCCTGAGAAGACATTTGATCTGGTGCCAGTGGCATGTACAGTCTGTAGATGATTGTCAGTCCTGGATAGCTCTTTATTGGCAAACCATCTCTGATGGTCATCAGAGTAGCTTACAAATACCAAGGATGGTGGCTGCAGAAATAGAGGTCCTTAGGGAAAGTAAATACTGAATCAGATTGACTTTGGAAGGAGTTCACATACTTTGGTGAAAGTGGAAGGGAGAGGGAAAGGTGGTAGTCTGGCCTCTTGCTGTAGCCTCGTAGGTCATATTTTGTTGGCGAAAACGAGTATCAAAAAAACCCACACTGACACTGAAATAAAGTGATAAGCCCAGAATGAAAGAAATCCCAAAGCAGCCTTCAAAGTTCCTGGAAGTGCCAAGATGGTTAAGTTTCTCTTCTTAGATATACAGGAATGATCCTGGAGGGGTGAAGCATCTTGGCCAAAGGCACAGAATGTATCATCAGAAGTCATTTTAGGAAAAGAATTCACTGGTTCACTCCCTATTCTGTGTTTTAAAAAAGAGTATATATTGATGTAAGAAACCAACTTCAATAATCACTATTAATTTTCCAGACAAAATAATTGCCAGTGTTCTTAGAAAACTGAGAGACAAATGATTAATTCCTGCTATGGGGTGTGATGTATGCTGGATTAACTGAAAAATTTGGTTGACTAGTGGTTGAGTAAGTAAGGATATAGACTCTTAAGATCATAACACTGTTACAAATCTTAGAATCCTCTGTATGTATAACAATAATGGAAGCTAATTTTTCAGCTTGCCCTAATGCTTCATTTGTAGTTTCAGTGAAGTTTAGATCCAGATTCAATGTGAAAAGTTGCTTGTAATCATGTGAAATGAAGAAGTTGCGATGACAATGTGAATATTTCCTTGGAAGGACTAAATGAGTGGATTATGTACTTATCCCTTATTTAATAATACCTAAATTAAATAGTCCTAAGGAAATAGAGGATTAACAAATAAGAAGTATAATACACAGCAAGCAGTCTAGTTGAAGAAAGATCACATAATCTAAAATATCCTCAACTAAATCCACTGTAGCAAATCTAGCAGGGAGACCAAATTACTTCAGATACACGCGTGCTTACAGTGGTCCATTTGGGTCAAGGCTAAAGTTCAGGAAGGATAGAGGAAGACTCTCAGGCTGCCTTTCTGTCCTTGTACCTATCCAGTCCATGAATAGAAGATTCCAGCTGTGAATGGATGTAATCTTCTTAAGAGCAAAACAGTCTAAATATTTGTGTAAAAACAAGCAACCAAATGTAGCGTGATAGCCTACAGATACACTGAGGAGCCTCATTCCGTTGTTTGTAAATCTCTCTGAGCCATCATGCAGTCCAGCTCTCACTGAGGTCAGTTGAAAAAAAACTGCTGTTGACTTTGGTGTATGTAGAACAACAGTTCACCAATTCAAAACCTTTTTTTTTTTACTTTCTCTGAAACTAACATTTTTCCAAAGCTGCAGAATATATTTGAAGACAGATCCATTTCATATGCAACTGTATTCAAAAGTGTTGGTATTTGTGCATGAAAGTTGCAATTCATTTCTGTATTAACAAAATTGCATTTATAGGTTCTAAATGACATTAGGAGAGAGTAAGGACATGCATTTTGATGTTGCTTAGTGACACAAGTTAAGGACCCAGATTTCCATTCCTAGTTCCTAGCTCCCTTCTTTTTGTCTAAAGCAAAGTTTCCTCTCCGCTTTTTTGCAGGTCTGGAGTCGGCGTGACAGGTTCTAGGCAGACATTATTTTATGCAGAAGTAACAGACCAGATGAGAACTGGTGAAGGAGGTGGCCAGCCTGAAGAAGGAGAGCTGATTGAAGTTGTAGAAATACCTTTAGAAGACTCCATGAAGTTTGCTTATGATGAGACTCTCCCGAAGACGATGGGTGTCATCTTCAGCTTCATGTGGTTCCAAAACAACATAGCACCCAAGCTACCAAAAAAATAAAACCTAAGCACCACAATTTTAAGAAGAGTTTTCCTGCTGGTTCTATGGATACAGAAAACTGCAATTCTGCCTGCCTCAATCAACTCAACTTTTCACAAAGTGAATCTTTCTTGAAATAAATTTGGAAGTAAAATATGAGTTGAAATCCTGACCTATTTTCTGTAATTATCAAAACACTTAACTGGCTTCACTGGGGCCAAGATTTGCCACTGAGAGGCAAATGTTTGTTTTGCACAAAGGCTAAGTAAATGTATCTGGTTCTTCTTTTTCGTGGCAGTGCTCTACCACTATTTTTAAGAGTTGCTCAGGACCCCAGTGCAGCTGCTACACAAGCTTGTCACTGTGGTCTCTACATACTGGCAGCTGTGTATTCACTCTAGTTTCTGATATTTTGAGGGGTGAGGCAGCAAACCTTAATAGTCACAGATATCCTTACTACGTTCATGAGTTCTGCACAGCTTTCAGGGAGCAGCTTTCTCTGTGGTGTGTAGCTCCTGCACGGAGAAAACGTTTGCATTTCTGAATATGCAAACCTTTATTTCATAAGCAAACGTCTGTAAATCCTTCTGCTAATGCGTCATTTTGACAATAGGCCAGCTGTAAGATTATGTGCTTCTGTTTGTTCCCACTATAATGCTGAGAAGCAGTGATGGTGATAGAGAGATGAATGATGGGGGTTTCTACTGGAACACATGCATCTTTGTTTGGTTTGTGGGTAATACTTGATTAATTAGATCAAACTTTGTCCTCTAGAGCGGGACTCGAGAGGCCAAATTCTTTTAATTTGGCTCTGACGTAACTAACACAAGTGATTTCTCTGAGGTGTTTTGTGGTCTTGGTTTCCTTATCACCCAAATGGGAAGAATGGGACTTACCCCTCAGATAACACTCCTTGAAATCTAATGATTGGAAGTGCTTTATTGAGATTTTATCGTCATTTGTGCAATTTATGTTGGAGCCAGTGCAACCTGCACAGAAGTACTGAGCAACACAGTTTGATTTTATGAAGTGGTCTCATTAGAACGTATATTACTTGTTCTGTCAGCATAGTTTAGATGTGGACTATTTGTCATGTGAAACTGTTAAGAGCATGAATGAAAGAGAATCAAGTCCAGCAATTTAATTATGCACTGGTTTATGTTATTCACTGACTTAATGTTAATTAACATGCCTACATTATATGTTCTTCTAGGATTACTGAGGTGCTAAGTATGTTTAGATGAGTACTGCAAATATGCAAGCCTTCATATAGCAACTGAAATAAATACAGTACAGATGCCTGATGGTATCCAGTGGCTGATTTAAAATCACTGCATATCTAAATAGGTGTATAAATAAATAATTTTAAAAACCACAAACTTTTAGAACTGGTACTTGCTGGTTCTCCTACTAACAGGGAGGAAAGGTCCTTGGAAAGCCACTGAAGAAAGAGCAGCCTTCGTCTTTGGGAGTCAGACACCTTTTGTGAAAGTTCAGACACATTTGCATTGCATTGTGCCTGGTCTGTGGTGAATGAAGGGCTGAGTTATCATGAAAAGCAAATAAATTCTGTCTGGTGTATTTACATTGAAAAGTGTTTTAGGGCGGGGTCTCCGCTGCTCTGCATCTTTACGGTGTCTAGTGCAATGTGTCCTGATTGCTGCTGAGGCCTTTACAACCTACCACAATATGTATAATAAATAATGTCTTTTATTTCAGGCTGTAGTTACCCAAGTATCTAGTTGATTCTGTCAAAATTACTACGCAGTAGCTTGTTGATCCGTTTAGTGGCAAGCTAGTAAGTGTGTGCGTATACACGTTAAAAGCCTTTTTTGCTGTATCATGCAGTAATTTGGAAAAATAAATCTGTGTAATGGAGGGGGGTCAGAGTTTGAAACTTTTCAAAGCAGCATCTATGTATTTATACCATTTGCCGCAGAATGACAAATGGACAAAACTCGACTTCTAATGAGATTCTTCATACGATGCTGAGGCCTTTCCACGAATCAGACATTCCCTCCTCTGCCACATCCAGGAGCTGGAGTTGGTGCTTCACAGGGTGCACTGACATTGTATTAACGACCTTGGTGAGTGCCCATGGCTTTGACCCACTTGTGTGGGTGACAAGCGTTCAAGGTGTGATTCATCAGACTAAATACACATTTTACTGATAGTCTGTCTAGAAGTGCCTTCAAATCTCAGCACCTGCATTCAGTTTGGACCCGTCAGACCACCCTGGAGGAGGCAGGTCAGCCGGTGCTGGATCTGTTGTGCCATCACCCAACGTGCACATCACCAACTAAGGGCTGCCCAGCTGCCAGGGAGAGCACATGGCTGTACCCAGCGAGGGGGAGGGTGAAGGTCCTAAAAATCTCTTGTGTGCATCACACAGCTGATGCCAGTTGGTCATGCCTTGGCTGCACATCTTTGAGCTGGACAGTTTGAAACACACGCATATTTTGCCCCCTCCAAGGGGCTGTGGCTGTCCCTCTAACGTACCATCTCTCCCCAAGAGTGTGTATGTTTGGGGAACACCAAGGGCAGTGCCAGAATTGCCAAAACCTGGCCCAAACTGCTGCTGCTGGTCAGCAGAAGGCTGTTCCCCATTGCTCAGCAGGGCGGAGGGCTTAAAAGTTGTATGTGCCTGAAGCCTGTCTGCTTCACAGCCCAGCCCTGTGGCCGTGCAGGGTGATACAGAGGAGGTACCACCACCGGAGCAGCAGCAGAGGTTTCCCAGGCATGGGGTGAGAGCGGGAAGTCATGGCGTGGGAAGAGGGAGTGCGTGGGGCAGCAGCATGGAGGGGTGCTCGGGGAGGGAAGCCGTGGGGAGCACAGGGACAGCCGTGCGGCATCCGCCCTCTGCTGTGCCCCGAGGCGACCTCACCAATGCAAGCTACAGGCTTCAGACTAACTATTTTTTATGCAATTGATATTTCTCTTCCGGATAACCGTGACAGAGGGCAGTTGCATGAGCTGGGCAGTCCCTCAGCACTTCGCCATGATCCAGAAGGCCCGGCAAGAAGCTGAGCAGGATTGCCCCCACCTCCCAGTCCGTTCCTCCCCAGGGGTCTACTAGGTAGACACCTACAAAATCGCAGGGGATGGTGGTGGCGCTGAAGCCTTTGCACCCCAAGGGAGGCTACACCTGTGCTCTGCCCAGCCATCCCCACAATTTGTAATTCTCAAACAGAAACAAAATGGTCAAGGGATTACTTTGGTTTCCTTCCACAGTTTGGGAATTTTCCACAGAAATGGCAGCAATGCAATATAACGAAAGCTGTACATAGAATGATGTTGTATCTGGTGTTTGGCTTTGCAATATTAAATATAAATGTATCTTCATCCTTTTCCTTTTCCTCTGTTAATTTTGGTCGGGCTTTTTGTAAGGAATTAGGAAGGTTTGAAAATGCAGGAGAAAGGGCTTGAACTTTTTTCAAAAGAGTAGGTGATTCATATTTATAAAAATAAAACCAGAGCAATTCAGATGCCACTTCTCTTGTCAGGGCTCATTTCAAAGATCAGAATTAGAGCAAATCTCATACACATCAGCCAAGCCTAGGCAGGAAAAAAGTGCTTCTAAAGGAATTGTGAAATCACATCTGCATTTTAAACGCATCCTTCGGACATGCCATCACACATATGTCCGTGGAGAGCAGACAGTTCAGAATAAAACAGGGTCCCCATTTGCTGCTAATGAATACTGACTCCAGCCTGCAAAACTCTTATCTGATCTCATCCATCTGTCCCCATGAGATCAGCGTCTTTCTTTTATTGAGTACAATCGAGTGGTCTGCATTTAAAAAACAAATCTTAGCATCTCTGTCATGTTTATGATGTGGCTTTGAGATATAGAGATAATCTAATGAACCTGAAACTATGACTCCGGCTTCTAACGAAGCCTGAAATTATAAAATCTGGAATGTAATGTCGCTGTCAGGCTCGCTATTAGGTGACAGAAGAGACGTCACCAGCACCTTGCAAGTACATGGACCTCGTTTATTATTGTTGTTTATTATCCTATTTGTAAAGTATCTACAAGCCCTGAGCTACTCCCAGGTCTCATGGTATTAAGCACTGAACAGTGATATGATTCAAACGCCTTCTCTAAAAGGCTGACACTTTAAATGAACGAGCTGAATTACACCACGGGGTAGGTTGGGGCAGGCGCAGAGATGAGGCGCAGGGTCCCCCGGCCACCCTTGCTGCCCCGGGCACTCGGGGATGCTCCGTGCGGTGCTCCCTGGCAGGCGGCCGCTTGCCTTTTCGCCCACTCCCTCATTACCATCCCTCCACGCCAACGATAAAAGCGGCGTTCTCCGACTCCCCGCAGGGCCACGGCCGGGGCCAGGCCAAGGGCAACTGATATAATTGTTCCTGAAATACACGTGCCGATCGAGCAGGGCAACCCACTGGACAAATAGGAATTTTGCTAAATTAGGACAATTGCCGAGCACGCTTCATCCCCTCGCCGAGGCTCTATAGATAGATGAAAGGCACACCCAGTTGTGAAATCTGTTGAAATGGCACACCTGGTGCTGTCTGCAAGTCTATTCACAACCGTTAGCAGGTGCGACTTGGCCTTTGTGGCCGTAAAAGTCTGGCTGCGCAGCTCCTGCTGTGCTCCATGCGCCTTCGCCGCCCTGCGTGCTTTGGCAGGGGAGGCTGTCACAGATTAATACGGTTGTTTGAAGCTGTTGGGAGCCACCGCCTGAAACATGTAGTGGCTTCAGAGGGATCAGAATAAGGCCTGTGCACACAGGACGGATTTGCAGCTTTGCTCTCTGTGGCTGTGCCGAGGTGGAGGTAACGGGCAGGGCAGGGCAGGGACACGGTACAGCATGGTCCCCATTTCTGCAGTCCCAGGGATGCTGCCGAGTGGCCCTGCCAGCAGGTACCAGCGATTTGCAATCTAACCCCTGTTTAGGGCTCAGCATCTCCAAAAAGGATTTTGCTTGCTGTGCTTCAGGATGCTACATCTCAAACAATGCAGCAGTAAGGTGGAGCTCCAAAAATACCAGCCC